AAAAACTCTGGCCATTGGAAGCTACTAGGTGGAGGCCATCGCTACTAGGGTGGACAACACTACTAGGGTGGAGGTCATTACTACTAGTAGCTAGAAGCTACTAGGGTGGAGGCTATCGCTACTAGGATGGAGGCCATTACTGCTAGTAGCTAGAAGCTACTAGCGTGGAGGCCATCGCTACTAAGGTGGAGGCCACTACTACTAGTAGCTAGAAGCTACTAGGGTGGAGGCTATCGCTACTAGGGTGGATGCCATTACTACTATAGTAGTTAGAAGCACTAGAGTGGAGGCCATCGCTACTAGGGTGGAGGCCACTACTACTAGTAGCTACAAGCTACTAGGGTGGAGGCTATCGCTACTAGGGTGGAGGCAATTACTACTAGTAGCTAGAAGCTACTAGGGTGGAGGCCATCGCTACTAGGGTGGAGGCCATTACTACTAGTAGCTAGAAGCTACTAGGGTGGAGGCCATCGCTACTAGGGTGGAGGCCATTACTACTAGTAGCTAGAAGCTACTATGGTGGAGGCCATCGCTACTAGGGTGGAGGCCATTACTACTAGTAGCTATAATGCTACTAGGGTGGAGGCCATCGCTACTAGTTAGTAGCTATAGAAGCTACTAGGGTGGAAGCCATCGCTACTAGGGTGGAGGCCATTACTACTAGTAGCTATAATGCTACTAGGGTGGAGGCCATCGCTACTTGCAATGGGTCCAATGGTTGCTCTGTAGCTTCGCATCGGTGCAGCACAGCTGCCATGCCACGCTCGCAGCACCAGTTCAGGTCCCGGGTGAAGTCACAGGAGATGCCTCGTTGAAGTCAGCTTCCGGTTCGAGCAGGTCGCACACGGGGAGAAGGTCGAGGGGTTCCGTCGCTTCACAGAGTTGTTCACAGAGTCGCTTCATAGATGTGCAAAGTCTTAATTGATGATCCCATAATGAGGAATCCCATAATCTTAAGGAATCTTAATTGATGTGCATAGTTGTAATTCACTTAAGGAATCATAATTGAGGATCAAGCAGATGGCAGTGGCTTGGTTGATGTTAGAGGGGATTCCTTTAGCAAATAATCAATAGGCACATGAACCCCCCTATACTTCAAAAAGATTGGCCCCATATTCTTGGGCAGACAGGATTGCACCGTTCCAGTCTTTAAGCTTGGTGGTTTGTGCAGGTAGTTGATGAGTTGGTTTTGATACCCAACCAGAGAAGTGAATCCCCTTTCTCCACACATCGAACCCAAACATGACCACCGTTTCGAACGGAAAAGACCACATGATGGGGGCCAAAGGATTCAATTGGTGGCGAGTCCCAGTCATTTTGCACCACATCTTCTCATACCCGTGACATTTTGCATCGTGTGCATCGCCACTCTTCTCCACACACCCCTGTTGGTGTGGGACCTCTCGATGGGGTGAAAACCCCCACCCGGAACCGGGTGCTTCCAAGAATACATGGAAAATCCATGAGAAAAATCCCCACCGTGTCGTGCACTGCAAAAAAAAGACAGAAAAGGAAACCTCGTCGTTTCGTCGCCCCCCTTCGTAAGGGACGGCGGAAACGCCCAGGCACCGTCGCAGTAGGCGTCGAAGCGCGTGACCTCGGAGCCGAAGCGAAAGGCGCCCCGGTGGCCGGGGCGCGGGAGCTTGGAGCCGAAGAGGCCACCAGGTGCCGGAGCGGTTTTGGCGCGTCATCTACGACGGCTGACAGAAGTGGTTGACCAGAGCGAAGAAGGGCATGAATTCCATCGATGCAATTTTTTCCGGTGGGAAGGAAAATAGCAGGGGGGTTGTTTCAGATCGAAAAGCACGACCACTGGAAGTCCATAGACGAGGACTTCCGAAGATCTTTCAACGTGTTTGTTCTCATATATATGTTTATATGTGTGTCCAAGCATCTCCGTGGTGAGGCACCTGCGTCTACCGCCTTCCACTCCCCAACAATGATGCACATGTGTTTTGCAATTTCACGAACTGGCAGACCAGAAAGAGTTGTGCTTCTGTATCTTCTGACTGGTGCGACTCGTAGGGAAGGAGGGAATGGATCGGAATTCTCTATTGGGGGCACATTCCCTTTTTCCCACCTAATCTCCAGTCGGTCTTCTGCGTGCCTTAGATTCAAGTGCTACATCTCTATTTCCACCTCCCTGAGGCCGAAAAGAAGGGCGAAACCTCTTCTGACCCCCCGGTTTCTCTGTTGCACGCAGGCTTCGCCACAGACATGGAAACATTGTCCTAACCACATTGTGCCAGACAAGAAGAGTCTGACTGGCCATGTCGTTGGAAGATCCAGCGCTCAGTGCCAAGGAGCATAGTTCAAAGGACAGGCCAAGGCCTCAGCTGGCACTCACCCGCTCAATGCCAGGGAGTCCCTGGAGGTGAATGCCCGCGATCTTTGGTCCGGATCTGGTGATTGCACATCTCACTGTTTGCTGGATCTTGACACGGACTTCTCCCAATACAAAATCATGTCGACATGCTTCTGCCTGCTTCTGCTTGTCCAACCGAGTGATCGAACACCTGGAAAAGCTCCGCTCCGCTCCGCTCTGCCTCCAGAACCCCCCCCCTGGCCGTCTGCTGTCGCACCCTGGTCCGCCGCACGCATCAACTCATCCCGAGTGGCCGTGCACGACATGGCAGGACGACAACAAATGTCCCGATCCTTGGGGCGTCCCGGTACCACCGTTGGGACCGGCGCTCGGTCGGGGTTTGGGACCGGCGGTCGGGGAACGACGGCGTCGGACTTGGGAGTCCACAAAGGTTCGGTTTGGGGTCATGGACTCCAGGCATGATTCCTTTGGTATTCCGCTGGTGTGGAGAGTTCCTCGCAAACCGGTTTTCAAACGGACGTTTGCGACTCCCTAGGAAATGAGCGAATGACATGGAATGACCCCCCGAACAACAAAGACCTTAGGAATTTTGAGGATCCATTCCCTGCTTTATTCCTTAATGTCAAAGATGGATTAAGAAAGCCTCCCAATTAGTTTGGTCCACCCTTCTTTGGGTGCGCTATAATTAATCTTCCCTTAAGTTATTCCTGACTAAGGACACCAACGAGTCAGCTTTTTGTGTTTCCCCACCATGTCAGCCCATCTTCAAGTCAAGCCATCTCGGAGCGTCCTCCCGAAGATTCTTCCTTCCAGCCAGCCGACTTGAAAGTAATTGAGTTCTAAACTTCTCAGACCTCTTGTCTAATCCCAATGTTTTTAACCCTTTTGAAGGTGGAAATAAGGCAACCTCTTCCGTAAAACCATCCGGTCACTCCCCACTCCGCCACGAACCGCTCAAAAATCGCCCGAGGCGCTCGGGTGTCATCGCAAAAGATCCCGTCGCAGTAGGTGTCCGGCCACGGCGTGAAGCCGTGGGGGCACGTGAAGGCTGTGGCACACCTCACCATGGCGAGCTGGGCAGCGGGGGAGCAGCACGGTGTTTTCGTCGGGTTGGGAGTTGTTCTTTAGCCTGTTGCCCGTTGCCCCTTACTCAATGAAGTAGGCACCTGACTTCATCTAAGCACGAGCTAAACAAACTACTAGGTAACCTGCTACTAGTGAACGGACGCAGGATAGCTCACACTATTCATTTGGTTCCTAGATGTCTTCACAACCGCACCGTGAAGACATCCACCTCGAGATGAAGATCGGGGTCCAGGACTCCATGATCTACAGTAACACCCAAACGCGGGCTGCTTGTAAATCCATCCATCCATTCATCCATCCACCTATCCTTCCCCCACAGAAAGAACCGAGCCCATCCCTGCCACTCTTGCACAAGGCACAGCGGTGCAGCTTCACAGCAGAGGTCACGGTCTCGGTTGATGTCACCTCAATTTCGCGGCGCCGGCGGGGAGGGTGCAGGTGGGACCCGGGGGCGGGCATGTCTTCCATCCTGTGAAGCACAGCATGCCTGACTGGGAAAGTAGGTAGGATTCCACTCCAACTCAATGCTCGGTATGCGTGTCCACAGTACAGTGAAACTCGGGTCGAAATGTCTAAACTCTAAACTCGGTCGGGAAATAATCTCGGCTACAAACGTGTACGGACGAGCCTAGCGCAATCTGCCATTCACGTTAAAATCGATCACACTTCTCCCGTGACATCTTCATAAAGTATGCTTAAATATTCACGATTTGTAGGTGTCTTGCTTCACAGTTCGTCCCATTCTACACAGCCGCATTCTCCACATACTACACTCTGACGAACACATCACATGGTTACGTAGATGGCATGGTCCCGAAAGGAAGACTACTTTCCCTTACCCTTACAAACAGGGGTCCGTTTCCACTTCCATGTGAAGTGTTCGGAGTGTGACACATCCCCTGACTCCACCCCAGTCGCAAGAGGTGGCCGGGCAGTAGGTGTCGTTGGCCGTAGGGTCCTCATCGAATGGTCCGGTGATGTCCCAGCGAAGGTGCCTTTACTAGTAGCGTCCGATCGCTTCTAGTAGTAAGGCCAGGAGCCCTAGTAGCGTCCGATCGCTCCGTTCGTAGCGATGCCCGAAATGCTCCTAGTAGCGTCCTTAGCTCCATGACATGGCGGTCACTGGGCCAACGGTCTTTTGCCCGCCTCCCAAGATCCAAAAAAGAACACCCAACCCCAATACAGGAGAATGTGAAATATATCAGACTGCTTTGCAACACGCTCTTCTATAGTCAATGAGACTTTCTGCACTCCACTTCTTGCATTATCTTGTATTGCGTGACACTCTTGCGGGACAAACCACAGGGTTCACCCGCCCACACCCCACGCCGTAAGAAGGGGTCCGGCGTGTAGCCATGGCCGCAGTCCAAGGTATCACAATGGGCAGCGACGTCGCAGCAACGATCCAAATCGATCGTCATGTTGCCTCGAGAGTCTGGTTGGACAACCAGGTCCGGTGTCCACCAGGTCCCCTGGACCATCCGTTTTCGGGGTGTCTGGAAGCCATCCTAGGTAGTGTGGGGTAGTCCAGCCGGGACACCCAGGTCCAGGATGGTCCTGGATGGTCCTATGCAAATGCAGATTCGACCTAAGTCCACATGGGAGTCGTGTCATCCAGTCTTCCTTGGGAGGCTTATATACATGCCCGTGCACTCTTTGCATGAAGCATCAGCTTGGTACACCAACGTTACAGTCGTTTTCGCAAAAAGCACCAACACGGTCAGGCCAGCCTGGCCGGTGTTCTGGTTGCCACGTTGCCATGCCCCTATGTCGTAAACGTGTTTCCAAGGCTTGCTGCACATATGTTGGCTTTCTCGGCTGGGGAACCGGCATTCTGGGCACAAAGGACTAGGGGCCTAGCACACCATGACTGGCTCTCCTAAGAAGGAACGGTACAGTACAGGACCTTGGCTCAATTGGTCATGCAGGTTCTCACTTCCCACTATGAATTTAGCACAACACGGCATCCCTTTGACAGATTGAAACAAAAGGGCCTGACACCCTCTGACAAAATCATTGCAAATCGTTGCATCTGCGAGCAGCGCCTTTTCCGAGAGAAAAAGCAAAGGAATCACAACCGGGTCAGACGGTCAAAACCTGGAGCTTCAAAACCCTGGATTGAACAACTAACAGGTCGTTGACCTTATGTTCATGTTGGGTCAACTGCTCGACGAAGACCCCAGTTTGGACCCAGCAGAGTCGAACTCCTGGACGGTAGTCCATGTGCGAAAGCTTTTTGTTGAAAGTCAATGGCTTCTCTTTGCACCTTTGCAAGGTTTGCCGTTGCCGCCGGCCTTGCGGACATCCAAAACTGAGGCGTCTCAGTTCTGTGTATATAAGTCCATTCGGGGTAATTTGGTGTGTCTCTGTGGACCAATGAAATCTCACAAGCTGCTCCCCGTTTTGATGCCTGAGGATTTCTCACGTGACGCGTTCCTCTCGTTTGGTGGGTGGGTTTGGGGTTGCTGTGCTGACCGTGTTCCATTGGTTTCCAGGTTTGGAGTCCGTGTTCCATGGAGCCGCCGACCTCGTGGTCGCGTTCTTCCCCCGCACCCAGGCGACCGGGCGGACGAACTCATCCGACCGAGGAACACACATCCAGCAAGCAGGTCAGAGAAGCATAGTTGGTTTTGTAGACACTGCCTAAGAGCGAGACTGCGGGCGCGAAGCAAAACCAGGGACCCAAACATGGGGGCTGAAGCCGAGACAAACGAGACGTTAAAAGAGGTCCGGGTGACCTGGCATCTTTTCTCCTTGCCTTGAGAGGTTGAGGTCAAGATTCGTGAGAAGGGAGCTGCCTTTTCTTATTTCGTTCGTTGGTTCATCTGTTCATTGGCTCTTTCCATCCATGCATCCTATCCGAAGGATTCACTTGGCATGTGTAGAACTGGACACTTCCTGCAAACATCGGGTGACCAAATCTCCGGATGCCCGGGCCCAAACAAGTTTCTCCATGTTTTCTCCCTGCTCAGAGGAAAAGGACATCAGAACCAACATCCCCTCGAAATCGACACGAGTTCCCCAAGTGCAATAGAAGCCAACTCAACTCTACCCTTCCAAGCACCCTTCCAAGCACCAGGCCTCTCACCTTGTCTCCCCCCATCCACCCATTCTACCCCATCCCCCATCCTTCCGGTCCCCAGCGGCCATGCGGACAGGTCAGCGACGCGCAGGGCTCCGAGGGCTTGCAGCAATCGCCCGGGAAGCGGTCGCTGTCCACGCAGGGGTCTCGGACGCAGCGCTCCGGGGAGTCGAACCAATAGCCTCAGAGCGAGGAGGCGGCGGAAGCGCGGCGGAAGCGCGGCGCGGGTGGAGCGAGTGTCCGCGGAGCTGGAGAAGGTGGAAACAAATGGCTTTGATGGCAACCAACTTCTGGGTCCCCGGGTTCTCACTGGAAGAATGGGCGGATTTCAAAGGGCCGGCCTCCACCTCACGTCCTCACGTCCGCAGGAAACCATGGAGACTGAGTCCCAAAAAGGCCCCGACCACTCAGGGTTCACTAAGCTGCACCAGTGAAGCAATTTCAGAGTGCCAACCTCGGATGGTGATCTAACTTCAGCAGAATTCGGGTGCTTTGGCCCTGGTGTTTGAGGGGTTGGCGCCACAGATGCTTTGGGGGTTCTCCCTCATGCTTCCCAGCGAACACCACGCGCCACGTCAACCCCCGTCCCCACCTCGGGGGCGTTACCCCCCCCACTTCCCCCGGTCCGCACGCGGGCAGCTTAGGCGCCATACGGACAGCTTTGGTCCGCGAGAGTGGAGCAGGTGGCGGAATCCAAACAACCTCAGGTGGCTCCCCTCGAACTCGAACCGACACCCGTGACGACGAAGGTTCGAACTACTCCACCCGGGATTTTGTGGACGCTTGATTAATCAAGAGTCACCCCCCATATATGAAGAGGATGTTCCATTTGAAATGGGTGCTGTGTTCATTTATGAAATCACGAGTCTACATTAGTCATTTTTGTCATCATCCACTACCAGTCTCAGGGTGAGTGCAAAGCTTGGACCTCTCCAGGATCGAGGCACTCTCGGTTCTGTCCTGCTGATTTCGGGGGGGGCCACTGCATGGGAGGAATGCGAGGCAACCAGGCGCACGCACTACCCACAAAAAGATGCACTAGACTGCCAACTTGTGACATCTGCCAACACCGAGTGAGGAACTTGCGTCGTTCCTGTTCTGAACCAAGCCGAAGGTGGCAGACCTCCAACCCCACAAGCCCATCCTGCAAAAGACCAGCTCCACTTTTCTCGCTGAGGTGCAATGATCAAAGTCCAAGGTCTCATTGCAGCTGGTGCCTCAGCTGAGACATCTAAAGGCCGAATTCCCACATCTTTCAGAAGGTTCCGTCCGAGTGGAGCCCTTGCAAAAAGCCAGCTCAGCATCTGCCATGCGGTGCCATACACCACTTATATATACTTATAACATGCCACTGATGGGAGGGTTCGCATCTTCCTCAGCATCCTCTCAACCACAGGAACCATTCTCAGGTTCCACCGTGCCATCCCTTCGTTTGACCACCGAGACGGCCACTGGATCCCCGGATCCCACCGAGGCACCGCTGCAGTAGGTGTCGCCTAGAGACGGATCTGGGTGACCGGACGAGGATCAGGGGTCACCTGGTTGGTGTTTTCAAGCCACAGATGAGGCTCCAAGGGTCCTTCTTCTTTCCCCCAAGTGGTAAGGGTTGAAAATCAACCTCTCCGAAACCATCACCTAGGGTCGGATCCAATGAGATCCATATTACATTCATGGTTCGGCTCATGGTCCAGGTGCCCAAGGAGCGTCAATCGCCTGGCAGCCTTCCAACGAACGCCCGAGAGGGTCTCAGACCCGCCGCGCGACTCCCCGGTGCACCACACCGCGCGCACGGATCAAGACAGACTTGTAACCATTCCTTTTGCGGAAAAGACTTGCTTTCCTCGGCGATGGCCAAGTTGAACATGCTATCCAAGTGTCTCAGCTGGTAGTAGCCATGGCCACAGGTGATGTCAGAGCATGGCGCTGCAGGGTCGCAACACACCAGGAGATGATCCAGAAGGTTGCAGTCCTCATTTCCAAAATTATTGAGGCAGCAGACAAACTGAAATTTGAAAGGCTTTGAAGATGTTTCATATGTTCATGTATTTTCCCTGCCAAGGTGCAGCGACCAGCAAGATCACCACGCCACGCCGTTCAAGGATGATGGAAAGCGATGGTCATGATTTGCAGACAACAATGTTCATCTTTCTGGAATTGCAACCTATCACTTGATCCATCTTGATCCTACTTCCACTCCCCCAACCCATCTCTCAGCCCCCCAAATGGGCAGACCTGCCCCCACCTGCCCCGCCCCAGAAGGCTATCCAACAAGCGCTCCAAACAGGGGGTCGTCTAGACGACCCACCGACACGGAAAAAACGAGACTCTGGAGCCAAGCAGTAGGTCTCGGCGTACTCCGGTTTCTCCACGTAGCCTGAAGGTACCGGCGCCCGGGCCACGGGACGAAATGGGACGTCTCCGGTGGCTTTCCAGACAACCAAGCAACAAGACCAAGTGTTTTTGCAGCATCCTTCCACCTGAACCTCCGAGAAACCGTCTTCTTCTTGGCCACAGACTTGAAAGATCTAGAAAGGTCCCCCTCCTTCTGAACCCTTCTGCAGGGTTCAAGTGATGGTCTCAACTCCCAAGCCAGCTGGCTAGCACCTTTGCCGAAAACAATTCATGGCACACACCCATAGACTTGGATACATGATGATACAGACAGTGCATTCCATGCTGACGCTTGGGTGAGCATCTTGCCCTAGTTGCCATCTATGAAGGCAGTTCGGCCTCCGCCCGTCAGTTCGGCCTGCTTGGGCCCTCGGCCCCTCTTCCTCCCCGAAAAAGAGACTTGACGGATCCGGACATTTGCTGAGGAGCCATGGGAGCAGTTCAGCCCCAAATCGCAGCGCATCGCAGGCTGGCAACACGTCCTCCAGCGGAGAAGGGGTTCCCCAACAGCGGTGTCAGGGGTGGAAGCGCCCCAGCGATCGGGTCAGAACACGGTGTAACAGTCCGTGTTAGCTAGCAATGTGGCATGAAGATGCATGAAGAATGGCTCCCGGCTCAAACGATCCAGTTCTTCCGTGTGGGTGGACGGTTCCGTCAGCCTTGCTTTTCTTTTAACCCATTGAGTCCATCAGAATGATGACCGGTCATCCGTTTCTCTGGGCCCCAAGAAGAAACGTCTCTGCTGGGTGGCCAACGTTCACTACCCCAAAACAACCCGAGCCGGAAAAAAAGAACCCGCCCGGCCCGAAACAACAACGACTCGGCTGGGATGTGCCAAAACCGACTCGGGGAATGGGTCCGCCCCAAAGAAAAAACCGGAAAGGACACGACACAACGGAGAACTCGGGTCCAGAGATCCGTCACGTTGTTGCCTCGGCGATCGGCCGAGGCGGGCCGAGGGTTGCCGGGCTCGGGGTGTCTGGAGACCCACCGCGTTGCGGGGCTCCGGGTGCATGGACTTCCGGCAGCTTCACCACGTACCGAGGTTCGGTCGGAGTGGACATCCAATGAAGCATGGACATGGAACAAAGATCGGTTTCCTGAACAAGCACTAACCTATGAGTCGAGTCAATGGTTAGCACTAGATCTTTGGGCAAGCCTGATCTGGTCAAGTTGCAAGATCCCTGGTTAGCAACTTGGGCATCAATCAACTTGCGCAAGTTGCATTTCCTTATATATATATAATACAAAATTGAAAAAAAATGAAATAAACTTACTCTGCCTGCCTACTGCGACATGCCTCGTAAGTGATCGGGATCCTCCCTATCACCCATTGTCCCCACCCCATGTCCGCAGTTTCGCGTCCCAAGAGTGGGCAGAGATGCGAAGGTGTACTTTGGTCTTCCTGGTCTTATCCTTGAAACCTGGAGTAAACCATGATACAAATCATGAAACACACAAGTCAAGAATCCTTGGTCCTCTGGTCTTTGAAGCCAATCCGTCATTCCACATGTCTCCTTCCACCCATCCATGGCCCGCCCTCTCGTGCGGGCTTCGCTGCATTGCTTTTGCTGACACAAGGCATCGAAATTGAAGTACGTTCCGGTGGCACCTGGCCAGCCGCCGGCCGCAGGTCATGCACCCGTGTCTAGTCGTATGTCATGCAGAGTCCAGAGTCCGAGCTGAGTCGTATGTCATCTCTACGTCACGTCGGCGTTTCTTTCTGAAGCTTTCCCGTGGCCCTGGCCGCAAGCGTCGCATCTGCCACACCCTCCACACCGGTTTGACCCAAGAAATGCTACGCCGGCGCCACAATCGGCGCTGGTGTAGGGCAGATCCGAACACAGCCCTTGTTGCTCGCAACAGAGGTCGCCTGCAGCAGGCGATCGAGGTATCGAATGCGGTCTTCAAGCGGCGACCGAAAAACTGGATCCTTGAATCGTCTTGAATCCATATGGGGGGGCGGTGAAGCAGGTGCTTTAAAAAGAACTCCTACCAGCACCCTCCTGGCCAGGCTGTTTGTTGAGGGTTGTTGGACCCTCACAGGTCTCAATTGGTGACCTGTCGGAGGGTGCTGGTAGTAGCGTTCTTGCTCCTAGGAGTAAGGCCAGGAGCCCCCTCGTAGCGTCCTAGTAGCGATGCCCTTTGCTCCCAAGTAATTAGGTTCTTGTTCGCACCAAAAACCCCCAAGTGGAGTCCGAGAATCCTCGCTTTGCCCAGTCGCGAGAGGCGTGTTCGGATGGTTCAAGGGTCGGTGGCCGTCCGCGTCTTCGCCACTTGGGGACCCATCCCACTTGGATCTCCTCTTCAGTCTGGAATCCCTCCCAAATCCGTCTTCCAGCGCATCCAAACCTCCCCACCCACCTTCATCTACCCCTCCCTCCACAGAAGGGCCAGATTTCTGGTCGCCATGCAGCTCAGCAACGGTCGCTGTCCGGGAAGCAAATGCTGTTGGGACACTGGATCTCAGCAGCGTTGAGCTTCGAGACGTAGCCGGGCCTCGACGGTTTCCGCCGCGTTTTTCGGCGACGGAAGCCTGGTGAGCCACCAGCTCCCTGGAAGTCGAAGCACCATTTATGATTGAATAGCCTGAAGACCGAGACCGAACAACCCTTTTACTAAGGCTAAGGGGTTCTTCACTGCAAAACCCCCAAAAAGCCCCCAAAAAACGGCCCGGGCCCCCGCCGGACGACCACGCGGAAAAAAGGCGTTTTCGCCATGGATCAAGCACTGCATCCCGTCGCAGAAGGCAGCTGGTACACAGCAAATGTCCTGGAAAAAAGGTCAGTGTGTCAGCGATTTGGCCAGCAGGGTCGGTCCTCTTAGGATTGCCCACCCTCCAAGTTCACAGGTTACCCTGAGGCTTCGCTTGGTGATTGTCATGCAGACTCTGGTCGGAACCTGTTGGCACCCACAACACCTCCGCCGTGCTCTCTTCGCCCACCCGAACGGCCGGGTCTTCAACAACATGACTCGTCCACCGTCCGTGAACGGCCGGTGCTTCGCGACATCACACCGAATCTCTTCTCCTTCGCCGACCTCCGGACGGGTGGTGTCAAAATCCACCAGTCAGTTGAGTCAAGGGGTCAGTTGAGTCAAGGGCAAACAGCCACTGAAGGCTGACATAGCTTGAAAAAGAAGCAAACACATACACCTGGAACAGTCCCAGTGACCGAACTTGATCGCCCGGTGTTTCAGGTCACGAGTGGCCGCGGCCTGTAAGTTCGGTCACTGGATGGGACTCTAGAGATCGGTCGGGAAGGTCCCGGAACGTCTCTCAACATCTTTGAGCAGAGCATATCGGCGTCATGAAACACCCTCAAGGCCCCCAGGCTGATGTTGATCTACGACAAAGCCCGTTGAATCGAAGACCTATGTCTTGACCGACGACTCGGTACTCCTTTGGGATACAGCTTCACCTGGATTTCTCTAAGGCTTTCTGAGAGGTATCTGGCCCATCTCCATCCTCCCCCCCCCACGCCCAGCAGGGCCCGCCCCCGCCGGTCTCCTGGTCCAGAATCGGGTCGCAGGCGCGGTCCCGGCACCAGCCGTTCCTCGGCTGGAAGCTATGCGAGGGGCCAAAGCCGTGGACATGCACCGGCGGCGATTCAGAGGTTGGGAGGGTCGGGGTTTAGACCATGTTGGACCTCTGGATGCGGAGTGCCGAGCCATTGGCCCTTGAGTGGGGTAGAAGTGAACCCTTTTCCAACTGTTGTCTTGAGTGGGGAAACCAATCCCCCCAAAAAAACAATGGTTAAAGGTTATCCACTGAGGCGGAGTAGGTCAGTGAAAACCATGGAAAAAAGAAAGCTTTCACCCCCCCAGGCCACAAAAACCTCCCTCCGCTCATCTCCACAAAAAACCCTCTCCGTGCCCATGCTGCATGGTCTGTAGGTTCAGAGCCACCGGCCCATCCTCAGACGCCAAGCTGCAGGTCAGGGACCAGATTCTGGGACCGGTCGCAGGTGGTCATCGTCGCACAGGACTCCACCTGAAGCGCCCATAAAAAGCCGATCGAGCAAAGCGGAAACAACGGGAGGGAGGGAGGGAGGGAGGGAGGGAGGGAGGGAGCATGTAGAACACCAAAACGGTTTTTGACACAGGAGCATCGTCTTTCACAGGGGACCTCAAGTACAGCTACGCCACCGCGTTCCCCACAACCCAAGGACCTAAGAACCTGAGGTTTGGCGATGCCACAAAAACGTGGAGCTGAACAGTTCGAAGACGAACAACTCGGTCGGTCGAAGTCCAAAACTGCTCGTGTTCTCCCCATGTGAAAATTCTCGAACAAAAACACTAGGTTTGAGAAGCTTTCTCTCCAACCCCGGAGTCTTTTTCAAGTTTGGCCACAGGTGAGCTCTCGCCAACACCAACCTGTTCCACACGGTGTTTCGTCCGGACCGCGCACTGGGCTCTCCCGGCGCGGTCGCAGCAGATGTCCCGGTCCTTCTCGGGATCACAGACCTTGAGTCCGCGGAGCTCGCGCGCGGGAGGGGTGGTTTTGGGGTCGGAAGAATCGGCTCAGAAAGCTGGACTCAGCCCACCCAGATGAGGCTTGGCTTTCGGTGGGTACGACGTGAATGCGTGTGCTTCTGGAAGAGTTCTGAACACATCCATGTCGGACTGGGTCCTTCGGACAGTTGACACAGATGCTTGTGTCGTAAATCCCTACAGTGAATCCATGGGGATGGCGCAACAGGTTGGGTTCTTTGAACTTCCTTCAACAGAATCATCTGGTGGTTGGCCATTTTCTCCTCTACCAGGTCGGTGATAGGGTTGAGTGTGTTCCCAGTGTGGGTCGAGTTGCCCATCTCAGAAAGAGGAAGAAGCCTGGACATGTGGGCTCAGGATTAAAGACCTGTGAACCAGATGTGCAACAGGTCTTAAGGAGTCTGACTCTAGAAAACAACGAAATTCTGAGCTCTATACTTTCAAAAACTTTTCACTAGCAGCAGGGCTCGATGTCTCTCCAGCAAGGCTCTCCCTGTCCCTAAGCCGAGCGGAGCGGCCGAAACCATCGAAAACCGAGTGGCCGCTCGGCTGCAATAGAGATCCTTGGCATCTAGCTTCAGCACATAGCTGTAGAGGCACACCTCGGGACTGAAGGATCACAGACGTTGGAAGAGGCAGACAGAGAAAAAAGAAAAGAATCACATGATTGAAATTACACTCTACACGTCTCTACACGTCTCTACACGTCTCTACACTCTACCTGCAAGTCTGGTCTTCCTGCTTCAGACCGGATCAACCCACCTCCTTTCCACACCCTTTTCCCACGTCCAACGCTTCTTAAGCGGGCGGGTTCCGCAAGACACCGGGGGACTCCGGAGGTTTCCACCCACACGGCCGGGCTCCGCGATCGACTCGTTCGGCTGAAGGCAGGGCGACTTGACACCGGGGGTACCCAGAGGTTGGGGCTTCAAGAGAGACCCCATGGTTTCTAGACCTGGGGTGTTTTTTATCCGTCACAAGGGCTGGGGCCTCTTTTGGGAACGGGTGAGGATTGACTGCAGCCCAACATCGAGGAGTAGAAGACGAGATCAACCCGTACCTCGAGCTGCCCTGCCAGCGCACCTCGCTGCACCTCGCCGTATCCTCTGCGAGGCGCTCCCAGGGAGGCGCATGGCGCCCGTTGGATGTACAAGGTGCCATCCACGTTCTGCAAGAAGTGCCAGAAGAGGACGCTCGTCACCACCTGACGCGCGGTGTCATACGCTCACTCGGCGGGGAGTGGTGCCCCACCAGGCAGAACATGGTGCTTGGTTCCAGGTCTTTTTCCTGGATGGGTCTAGATATTGGGTGATGATACATCAATCCTTCTGTCGCTGCCGCGGTCTCTGGATCTCTTACACCAAGCCGGACATTCACTCTCAAAGCCCGTGAGTGTGGTGAAACCACAAATGCTGCCGGTGCTCCCACTGGTTTTCTGCTGCTGATTCAAAGTCTGTAGATTGGTTTCTTGTGTCAGCACAATTGCTGGACACTGACCCACGCGTGGTCACAAGCTACCTGAATTCGGTCCTGGCAACTGGAAGAGCCTAGTCCACTTCCTCCATCTTGGAGGCCTCATCTGCAGCTCCCTCAACCTCCTAACGGGGCAAAATGTTGTGGCTTTTGCGGTCCGATCCTAAAGATTGGTTAGTTAAGTTGATGTTAGTCGTCCGTCCAATAAACATCAAACTGTACAACTCCTGTTTGTAAATGAAAAATAATGAAAATAGTTTTGCAAGGGACGGTTTCCACTACTTCCTGGGAAACCAATTTGCTTCTGTATCCAGTCTCCTCCAACGGGGGCAAATCATCGTCATCGCCCAAGCCCTCATCATCGTCATCGATGCTCAGGCCGAGCTTGATCATGCGGTGAATGCGGCCGGCGAACTGGGTGGGCTCATCCAGGTTGAAACCAGATGTCAAAAGCGAAGTATCGAACAGCAGCCAAATCAAGTCCTTCACCGTCTTGTCGGACTTGTCTGCAGCCGCCTTCTTCTTCAACTCCGCCATGATGGAGTGCTTGGGGTTCACTTCCATGGTCTTCTTAGAGACCATGTATGAAGTCATGGAATTGTCACGAAGAGCCTGTGCCTTCATGATTCGCTCCATGTTCGCCGACCAACCATACTCAGAGGTGGTCAACACGCAGGGGGAGTCGGCCATGCGGGAAGAGACGATGACCTTCTCCACCTTGTCTCCCAAGACTTCCTTCATGAGCTTTGTGAGCGGCTCGAACTCGGCTTTCAGCTCCTCAATCTTCTTCCTCGGATAAACGTTTAAGACCCTTTGGATCGAATCCTATCTTCCTCATGGCTTCAGAGAGTGTGAAACTTGGAACATTCACCCGGAAAATCCAGGTGTCTTTTCGTCCTCATCATCAATGTCGAGACCTAAGCCGCTGTTCTGCTGCAAGCATGTCAAGCCGGGACACGGCATATCAAAGGTTGGTATGCAAGGACACCACTGAATCAACAATTGTTACACCGCAAGGGCGTTGCTTAGCCTCTGCATACACCAGAACATCCACAGCAAGCACTCCCGTGAGAACAGCATCTGAGGATAAGACCTTCCTTGGTGGTACTCTTCAACTTCTTGCCTTGAATGTGCTAAAGGAACCTAAACAAACAAATGTGCTTCCGACTTCCGAGCTTCCTTTACTTTTGTAGATTCCCTATAGCCTATAGAACAACGAGTTTGAGTGGAGAAAGAAACTATAACCTTTGGCAGTTTGGCAATCCAGGTTGCCGTCGAACTCCTTGAGCTGCTGGGTGGCATACTCGTCGATGGGGTCAATCATGTACAGCACCTCAATGCCCTTCTTGCGCAAGGTCTCGAGGAAGGGTGAAGAAGACACTGCCGCAATGCTCTCACCTGTGATGTAGTAGATGTCATTCTGTCCCTCCTTCATGCGGTCCACGTACTCCTTGAGGCTGATCTGCTCATCGCCAGACTTGGAGGTGTGGTAGCGAAGGAGCTCGGCTACCTTCGTTCGGTTGGTGGAGTCTTCATGCACTCCAAGCTTGAGGCACTTGCCGAACTGCTCGTAGAACTTCTTGTAGTCATCCTTCTTCTCGGCAATCTCGGCGAACATCTCCAAGCACTTCTTCACCAAATTCTTCTTGATCACTCGCAGGATCTTGTTCTGCTGAAGGGTCTCGCGAGAGATGTTCAGAGGCAAGTCCTCAGAGTCCACGACACCCTTGACGAAGTTCAGCCACTCTGGCATCAACTCCTCGCAGTCATCCATGATGAAAACACGGCGCACGTAGAGCTTGATGTTGTTTCGCTTCCTGAGTTGGTATGACCCCAGCAAAAACAAAATACATAAAGTAAAGTTCTTGCCCCAATACTTTCTATACTAAAGCAGAAAGCCAAGGCTTAGTACGTTCACAGGTCAGGTGAGTTTCTTCTTGGTCTCAAAGAGGTCGAAAGGAGCCCGGCGAGGCACAAACAGCAGCGCACGGAACTCCAGCTGGCCTTCAACGCTGAAGTGCTTCACGGCCAAGTGATCCTCCCAGTCATTGGACAAAGACTTGTAGAAGCTGGCATACCTGAGAGATATGCCAGTCGAAGGTACCGTGATGGTCCGAAAAAAGGAGTGCGGGACCCCGATGATGGTTTCATGGAATGGCCAAAAATCAATGCAGATACCCCAACAAAGAGAGGACAATGATCCCTGCCGTCTTGATTCCTCGAAAATACCATGGAGGAAAGCATCTGTAAAAGTCGCATCAAGGGAATTATCTACGCAAACTCCACTATCAACTAATGTTAAACTTCTCAAACGGTGGTCCGTTTTGAACCATTTCTGCTAGCCCCGGTGTTTTAGGAACACATTCCCCTCCCATCTTCAGCCTCAGCCCATATCCATATAGGTTTACCCATCCAATCCATTCATCCATCCAAATCAATCAATCCGATCGATCGATCTATAAATCAATCCAATCCATCAAAGAACCTTTATATAGTGGTCCAAATCCAGGAGGCTCTTCATTGGTCACGTCTTCGGACTTGCGCATCCACAAGGGCTTGTTCTTATTGAGCTGCTCCCACTCATGGGACACCTCCTTCACCTGGCCGTCGACGCGACAGCGCCACACCCGGACAGCCGCGAAGCACGTGCGACGGTGTGGGGGACGAGAAGACCGCCGCGACGTAACGGCGGCCGACGGGTGCGGCGATCGGTGGAATGGAGAGTCGCTTCGCCCCCCACAAAGGGAGAGACAGAGAGAGAGAGAGAGACAGAGGGGGGGGGGGGGGGGTGATCAAACAAGTTCTTGGGAGAAGAAAACCCTGACTGGAGTTGACTAAGTTCTTTGGAGTAGATCATTTCTTTTGATAAGGAGCTCTATTGGAAGTCGCGCGTTTGTGGAAGATCTGCTCGCAAGGTTAATCCCCTTGATCCATTTCACCTTTGGAGCCGAACCGTGAACAACACAGAAGAAGTTCTTCAGGCTTCAGAAAAGGCACCCGGTTCAAAGA